CCTTTTACAGCCAGTTTTTGAAAAGCCAACAATCCATACATCACAGAAACAAAACACTATCTCCTTCAGTGGGCAGCACAAGGACTGCTCTATATCCTGACTCCTCCACAGAGGAGCGTTGGGCATGAACAGCTTCCCAGCACAGGCCCCGAAGGGCAGAAGGCAGTGGTAATGTGCCAGCCTGATTTTCACATAGCACTACTTTTGGAGCAGACAAGTGTACTTAGAACAACAGTTCCAGCTGCAACCCAAGTCTGCACCCTCTTTAAGCTGTTGATGCTTTATTTATTTTATCTATTCTGTTCTATTTAGAAATACTCATTCATTCAAGTACCCTCATGTGGTCTTGGGTTTATTCCATGTATATCAGTGCTCCAATTAGAGAAAAACCTTTCAGTGGTCTCAAGCTCAGCAGGAGCCAGGAATCACTGCTTGGTCATATCACCTGGGACAGTTCATTAAGCTGATCCCAACACAGCTACAGCTCCTGTTGGAACTGCGAAGCAAAATTCCTCAGGAAGAGCTATGACATGCAGAGGAGTAACACTGAACATCAGTAATTTTCCACTTAGCACCAGACAAGTTATTTCCCAGGAGCAGGGAGGTAAGTGCCTCAGGAGGGACAGCCTGCTGAGTATGGCTTGCTCCTCTAGAAGACCACAGCTACCACTGAGTCTGGAATCAAGCTTCACAAACAAAAACACAACTCAGTAGGCAAACCCAAGAACTACACATGGCACTTGGGAAGATACACAGAAAGGCAGCATTTGTAAACAGGCAATTTAAAATAAGTGGCATGTTGTAGATTCACAATTCACTCTCACACTGTTACTGCACAGTGAGACACAGAATGTTTGATACAGAAGTTCACATGGAAAGTAGAATTCCTAACACAGGTGACCTTGTGCTTATGTCACAGATGTGAGATGAAACTGGAAGCTCTGCTGAACACCAATATCACCAGGTCAGCACTGTGTGCATATGCTGAGTGGCCTGGCCATAACATTATACCCCCTGTTCCCTGGTGATCTGTGGATCAGCATAAGAGGATGGGATATATATTTGCTTTAGGAGTTACCCATCAGAGTTAAGCATCCCTAAATTCTGACATCCATATTAACTTAATGAGAGCTATAAAAAAGGCACACGTTGTTCTGTAGATTGGAATCAAGTGCACAATCCTGCTACATAGGAAGGGATGACTAAGTCACATAAACAAACTCATAGCTTGGCTTTCTGAAGGGAGATTTTATTTGATTAAATTATCTTCTTGAATTATTTGACCTATCCTAAAAGCATTTCAAATTGTCAAACCCCCCACATGTACAGCTTTTAACATCTCTAATTTCAACTGTGCACACTATTCCTACCCTCTTCCCTACAAAAGGGTTGAGAGCTGAAGCTTAGAGCAGCTTCTATCCCCCTTCCTCCCCTACTGAAGGCAAAATACCAAAATCATTAAAGACTCTCCCACACAAAAAAAAGGAACATATGGAGACAAAACTATCAGCTTATAAAGTTCTTCTCAAAAGAAGTATAGAGATACAGGAGCAAAATTCCTTCCCTCTGAAATCAGTGGCACTTTAGGCATTGGTTTAAATTAAAGCCAACTCTGTCCTTATTTCTCACCCAGAGTGTCAGTTTGATAAGAAAAGGCTGTCAGTGAAAGAATACTGAGCAGCCACTGGTTTCCAGATTGGTTATCAGTGCTCTGCACTTGCACAGCACGAATAACGAAACCTCACTGAGAACTCTCTGAAATGAAAATCCATTTTACTTTCATCTTTCCTTTATAATCTTAAGGATGTGTGAAATATCCAAAACTCAGCTAATGAACAATTCTTACAAAGCGACATAAAGAGCCAAATGGAGACCTGGACCAGTGTTCACAAAGGTGTGGTTCAGATAAGCATCTGAAACCTTCAGTGATCTTGGTTGCAGTCCTTTGCTCTTAATTGCAATGCTGGAGAGAAATTTTTATAGCCAACATTTTTTCAAACGACTGTAAAACTTATCTTTAAGAGTAAGATTTAGTAGACTAATCAGCCCTTCTATATTGATTCCACAGAACACAGGTTCCTTTAAAAAAACATTGACAACCATCTAGATTTTTCAGAAGAGCATTAAAGCCACTGATTTATTTTGCTATCCAATTTAGCAGAAAACCATCATTATCTCTGGAGTAAGAGGTACATATTGTTTAGCATTCAAATCAGAACAGATTCGTTTCTTTTTTTTTTTTTCCCTCCTGAAACATAAGCCCAGGTTCCCAACATGAATGGCTGTAAGTGCTGCCTTCCCAGGACTGCCAAGACCTCTGCTCTGTGCCATCCTCCACCAGCTGCAGTGTTGAGGAAACCAGGCTGTTCCACACTGCCTTTCAGCAGCCAAGCAGAGAAACAGCCACCCCCCCTTCCTCCTCGGGACTGGGCTGACTTGGAGAAGCAGAATCTACAAGAATTCCCACAGGAGGTGGACCTAAGAGCACAGAGATAAAGCAAAGAAATATTGTCTTTCACAAAATAGTCCCTTTCAGCAGCAGAGTGAGGGATGCTTAAAAACCCCCTGGAAGCTGGAGGCCTTGGATGTGCTCCAAGCACGGTGTCTGCTGAGAGCTCCTGAATGTCACCAGCAGCTGGGACAGGTTTTACCGTCAGGGCTGTGCCCTCCTTTGCCAAATCTCTCCCCAGCAGGCTCTGGGTAATGAATGGCACTCATAAAAGCACATCATAACTCAGTACCACTGTGTTTGCCCCAGGAAGGCCTTGGTTCAATGGGCATCCTCACACTTCCTTCCTTTGCAGTTTGGGCAAAAGGCTCAGTTTAGAAGATCTCAGCACTAGAAATACACATTTATATTGCTTTTAACCAGAAGTCTTACAGTGATACATTGAATCCCCTATCAACAAAAACCTACAAAAGAGTCACTAAGGAAGGATGACAGCTAGCTCTCCTTCATGGTTCTATCAAGACAGCAATTTGTTTGGCTTCAAAACACAGCAAAGAATGGAAAAAAGACTTAGGTCTGTCAAAACACTATTTGACTAGTGAAGTCCTTCAGAAAAATCCACACAGATTTCATGTTTGCCAGCCTAATTAAAAGTAATATCATTAGTTGCACCTCAGAAATGGCAGATGATTCTTAATTAATCATCCACCAAGTAACTAAGAAATAATGACTGCTACTTATAATATTTTAGGAGACAGTTTTTGTATTATAAAGAGATATGAAACATTTTTGTTTATGAAAGAATGTAAAGGACTAATGTAATGTAAAGTGCTTAATTCCCAAAGGGCCTCCTTTTTCCCTCAGTGCTGTTTTCAAAATAGTTTTTGTTCTCTCACTTCTACGTGGGCAGAGAGAAACCAACACCTTCCACACTGCACAGGATCTGCTAATGTGAGGCAGGACTTCAGAAAGACATACTTAAATATTTAAAATTATTTTTATTTGACTTCAAGGCCCTGAAGAAGGGCTCATTACTGCAGCACTGCTGCGAGGTGGAATTCTAAGAGTAAAGAACCAGCTATTTTCTATAGCCACAGGCAGGAAGATCATCACAATTAGCCACAGGAGGAACTGTGAAGTCATCTGGGGAGTTCCTGAATGCTGCACTTTGGGAAGGGAAGGGACTTGTTCCTCTGGTCTGGAGCATGCAGGAAAGGCCAGGTTCTAGACTTGGTAACTAGAGGCAATTCAAACAAGCCATTAGGACAGTCTGGTCAGAGGGAATGCCCACTCAGCAATTCCCTAACAGGCAACATTTTCAATACTCTACTTCATTAGAATAAAGGAAATATGACACCATTTGAACCCCAATCCTTTTACATCACACTGAATGTTAGCCATGGAAGATGCAAGCCAGAGAAAGAAAGTTTTTTAAACCCTCAGCAAGATTATGGCAGAAATCTTTAGACCAGGACCATTTTTCTCTATACTAACTTGTGGTTTGCTTCAAAATGATAAGTTTAGGAAAAGTCATACAATTCCCTGAGTTGGAAGTGACTCACAGGAATCTCATCAAGTCCAGCTCCTGGCTGGGCACAGGACAACCCCAAAAATCTCATCATGTGCCTGAGAGCCTTGTCCAAACACTCCTTGAGCTCTGTCAGCCTTAGTGCTGTGATGACTTCCCTTAGGAGACTGTTCCGTGCCCGACCACCCTCTGGGGGAAGAACCTTTTCCTGAGATCCAACCTCTGTCTCCCCTGACACAGCTTCGGGCCACTCCCTCGGGTCCTAATGCAGGTCACGGTGGTTAATTTAATTTCATCTGTTTGCAGTAAGAACGGCTTCCTCTCCTGACACGGAGCTTTGTGTTCCCCGGGGACACGAGATCAAAGAGCTGCCCTCCTCCTGTTATCTCTCCCTGCTCCACTGATCAGACCATGCAGGTCCTTATCAACAGGCTGAAATAAATTGTTCGTACAAACAATTACACCGTTAGCAGAAAGGCAGACACACAAACCCTTGTTCTTTTAAAGAAAACAGTACCACATCTAAAATAAAAACCACATGGGATCTAGACTTAAAAGCTGATAAAAATCAGCATGCAGGAGAAAAAGAAAGAAAAAAAAAAGAGATGAGGGAAAGCAAGAACTTCCCTGCAACAAAGGAAACGTCAGTGTAGTACGAGAGACTCAAAACCTGCCACGAACTGAGCGGAGCCTGATCTGAATTCCCTGTCCAAGGTGACGGCACCCGGGAGGCACGGGCGGGGATGCAGAGCCCGAGGGGCTCGGCGGCTTTGCGGGACCCCTCGGGGCACCGGGAGGCACCGCCGGGAGCTCTGCCCGGGTCGGGGGTCCCGCCAGCCCCCGGCCGCTCCGCCCGCCGCCGCACCGGGGGACCTGGAGCCCCGGAGCCGGCCCGGCCGACCCCCGGCACCCCCACCCGGGCAGCGCCTCCTCGGGGCAGCCCCCCCGGGCCTCCCCGCGCCCCGCCCGGCCCCGCAGACCCTCCCCGGCCACCTGCCGGGTCCCGCCGCCGGCCGCCCTCACCCGCGGACTCGCCGGTGTTGATCCAGTCCGGGTTCGCCAGGCTGGCGATGGCGAAGATGTCGGCGGCCAGGAAGAGGCATCCTGAGATGATGGTCAGTTTGTCCATGTCCTCCGGCTGCCGCAGGGGCCGGGCCGGGGGCGCCTCACGGCCGCGGCTCCATCGGGCCCGCGCGGCGCCGGAAGCGAACCCGGCGGGCGGGGGGGGGCGGCGGCCGCTCCGGAAGGGGAACCCGCGCCTCCGCGCAGCGCCCCGGGCGGGGCGGGGCTTCCCGAGGGGGGCGGGACCGGGGCAGAACGAGCAGGGCAGGGCTTTCGCTAGGAGGGCGTGGCCAGTGCCGAAGTGGGCGGGGAATGCCCGGGGCGCGCGTAGCGAGTGGGCGGGGATTTGTTGCTGGTGGGCGGGTTGGTCGTAAGTGGGCGGGGAAGGAGGCGGGGCCTGTCCGAAGGGGTGGGTTTAGATTGACAGAGGCGGGGCCGAGCCACTCGGTGGGTGTGGTCTAAGGGAGGGGGCGGTGCCTCGGGGCGGGTCTGTCGTGAGGGGCGGGCGGTGCCCGCAGCCCCCGCAGCCCCCGCGCCGCCTCCTGCCTGCCCCGAGGGGGTTCTGACACTTTCTCCGCCGCTGGGTGATCCCCTGCCCTCTCGCATGCCAGTCCCCAGAGGTGTTTTTGAACCGAGGAATGAGCCGCTTTTGGTCAGCGCCAAGGGCTGCGGAGCTGTCGCAGGTCTGCCTTCACCACAGAAACTGCCTCCAGGTTTTCAACTCACCGCTCTCTCCCCGTTTGCGATGTTGGGCGTGAGCCTAAATTTCGGAGCTGCTTCTGTGGCAGTGCTGAGGACAGGGGAAGGGCTGAGGTCCCGCACAGGGACACGCAGCGCTGTGCCTGTGCCGTGCCTCTGGAACAAAACCTAATCAATCCTGGCTGCAAATCCCACCCAAACAGAGCCGGGTTGCATGGCACGCTTTTCCATGGATTCAGAACCGCGGGGAATCCGTGGCCAATAAATGAACAATGCGCCAGTTGTGGGAAACCAGCCCAGTTCTGGCCACAGTAAATCTGTGCCTTCGATATTGCCATCCCGCTCTGGGACCGCGGCAGCGAACGAACCCAGCAGCCCCCACATCTACAGGTACTTGGAAAATACCTAATTGCTTACATATTTTTTCCCTTCCGACAGCAAACACCCACCTGTTTTTTTCCAGAGCAGCACAACTGATCTATATGGAACGTATCGGGAAGCCAAGTGGGCGATTGTCTGTGCTGTTTATTTTTATGTTAAGTCTTTTATGTAGACAGGAGGCTATACAAACAAAATGCAGATGTCAGTAAAGTAATCTGAAAGTGTTCAACAGCAATCAGTAGGATTTATTATTTGGAAGACAAACCCTGTACTTACATTCAATTGAAATTGCCTATACTTGACAGATTTTCTTAAGGATGGAGAAAATAATAAGGCTTTTGATGAAAAACGGCTGAAATTATTCCCTTTAAACCAGGAAAAAATTGATGCATGGAAGAAACATGGATTTGAAAAATCCATTTGTTATAGGCATGCAATATTTTCTTGAAGTCTTTTAATAGCTGGAAACTCCTCTGTTCTATTATTTTGTGCCCTGTTCCCTACCTTTCCCGAATACTTTGCCATTTGTAATGAATACTTAAGTAACAGCACTATTGCTTTTTCGCTGTGCAAAATGTGTGACTTTTTAAGAAATAAGTTTCTTTCTACTACGAATTCCAGTATATTTATTTGCAGAGAGCTGGTTTATGGAGTACTGTAACTTTTTCTAAGTGTTGCTATTATGGCTTTTTGGCAGCAACTCAGCAGGCAATGCCTCTGTACAGAAGTAACTAAGGAGGAGAGGCTTAACTATTTGGACAATTAAGAGTGGGAACAGCACCTGCTCAAATGTCCCTTTAAACCTTTTATTGAAGAATGATATCACACTTTCAGCTAATAAAGTTTCCCTCTCACTTTGCAAAGGGCAGTCGCCAGCACTGGGAAACCTCTCAGCACACACTGATTGCAGCACTGATGGCAAATATCAGGATGGCTGAACAAGGATTGGTTCTCTCAATGTTATGGGATGGGCTGGATCTCCAGTTAACAAACCTTGTTGAGAAAAGCTCTGCAGATAACGATGGAAAGCTAAAACCAAGTAAAAAGAACCAACTGTGATGTTCAAATGTAATAGCACTGAAAATATTCTTGTTCTGCATTTATGCTTTGAGCCTGTCTCTGATTTATTTACACTGACGCAGATCAAAAGCAACTCAATTTAAAATTACAGAGAAAAGAAACCAGCACAAACTGTATAAAGCTCAGTGCCAGCACTCCATTGTGATAAAATACCTGTGATCTTAAAATAGCTCATATGGTGACTCTTTCATAATCAGATCAAGATTTAAGTCTATACTTTTTTTCTCCAGCAAAAACAGATTTCCTATTTATCAGCAGGTTTGTCCCAAAATAGTTTGACTCTTACCTTTATGTAGCAACTAAACTTGAATAATAACATTCTTTGTTCACTGTAGCATTGTTCGAGTAATTTCACTCTACAAGTAACACCCAACTTCCCAAGGCTTGAAATTCATTTGCCTTATTGTTTACTTTTTTATTTCTCTTTATTACACAGAGTAGCTGCAAAGTGGCAATGGAGCAATCTCCGTGCTTTAACAATCCGTGCAGGTGTTCACTTGCTAAATGCTTTAAACCCGAAATGAACCCCATCAGTACTAGCAGACTATTACCAGTTATTAAGGGTTTCTTGTGGAACATCAGACACCTGTATTAAACTTGTAATTGAAAGCTCTGTAAATGGGACTGCTTCACATGGGTCCCCAGCCCAATTACAGCAGTCACATGGATACAGTTTGGAGATGATAGTGTGCTACATTAATTCCAAGCATTAAATTGTCTCTAACATTGGGATCTATGAAGCGAAGACTTGAGTGTAATGAAGTCATTTAGAAATTTACTGTCTGTACAGTGAAAATGCCTATCTTTAAATCAGAACAATTTTCCCAGTATTGCCTTTACAGTCTGGGCAGTCCTTTCTTCTTGCACCTTTCAGAGAGAGTTGGTATTCCAAGCACTAGGAAGAGATATCTACTTGTTTGATGAAATGAAAACCCTATTTTTAGGAGAGGCTTTGCCCTTTTGATCCAAGTATAAAAATCAGTGGAAAAATCTAGAGCATAAAATAGACATGGATTTGAACTAAGTACTTTTGAATTATTACTTTCTTAGGAGCTGATAGTTTCCATCTATGCCCTAAAACACCCCCTATGACATACAGAAGTATATGTATGATACTGATTGGATTGTTGGTTTGTCTCATGGGTTGGGGTTTTTTTATACATCTATAATTAGAATACTAATCATTGAATATTAAGAATATGCATCACTGAAACTAAGCAGTTCTAATTGCAACAATTTGAAGAAGGCAGTAAAGGCTGTAAGAACATGGAGTCAAATTATTTGTGGCGTGTGTTGTGTTTGGTGGCTCCTTGCTCTGCAGCAGACACAGGTATTGCTTGTTTAAGCCCCGTGCTGGTGTTGCAGTTCAGTACAGTGTTTACTGATACTGCTCCCCTGTGTTTCTGCCAGGCTGCTGACAGAGCTTCAGTTTGCTGCACATTGACCCTCTTGCCTTATTCTCAGTCCCCCCAAAGTCACAGGTTTGCACAGTAATTGCAGCTCCCTCCATACCCCATCCTGTTATCCCCCAGGTATCCAGAGGGGCTGGGGCTCCTGTGCTCTTGGCTGCAGTACAGACTGCAGCTCCGTGCTTCCCACTGGCAGCTGGCAAAAAGAACTTCATTTGCAGCCTTATCCCTGAAAACACCCAATCAAACCCATCCCAGTGCTTCCTGCTGGAATGCCGCGGCTCTGTAGGCACCTCGTCATCATCCCTTGGCCTCGCCCATGTGAGGGTTGTTCTGACGTGCCCTCTGCTGCCTCCACAGGGAGCATAAAGTCTGGTTGGCAATCGAAGCCCTCGAAGTCAGAGGCCTTGTCTACCTGTCACAGCCACGGATCAGGACAACTGCCAGCAGCTGAGGATACCAAGATGAGGGTCTTGATCCAATCCTGTAAAGGGCTTATCTGTTTCTTTATCAGCTTAACTACTGACAGTACTTAAAGATTAGGATTTAAAAATTAAACAACAGGAAAAAAATAAGCCCTTCTTGTGAGAGCCACGGCACACAGCTTTTCAAAATATATTGCTCCCAATGCTAAAGGTGATCCATGTAGTAAGTACAATTAATCTGGTTGGGATACAAGGCCGTTACAAGTTTTCCTGAGGCACAAAGTTTTAATAGAAATAAACCTCAGAGGTAAAGGAAGGAACAGAAGTATTAAAATGAGATAATTAGGCTAGAACAGCAGAAAGGAAGCTCACACAGCATGGGGCTTTCCAAGAGATTAAAACTCTAAGCTTATGTTTAAATAAATTATTTGCTATGCTGGAGGAGCAGAAAAAGAATAGCTTGAATGACAGACTGTCTCCACTCTCCTTATGTCCAGTAAGTGAAGGAAGTGGCCTTCAGACAAAGAATAGGATGGTGGAGACAGTCTGTCATTCAAGAATTTTTCCTGAACATAAAACAATACATGGATAACTAGTGGTAATTACAGTATTTGTCTTCATCACATTGACTAAAACTCACCTTGTTTTCTCACTGTAGTTTTTACCTTCAGTGTACAGAGCCAGACTTATCAGCCTTTTAGAAACCATTTTCAGTGAAAAAAACTCAACACAAAATATATGAACTCAGCACTTTATTTGATGAGTGCAAGCCCACAATTACTCCAGATTAATTTTCTGAAAGAACTGAATTCATAAATAACAAGTTAGTGGTAATTTATGTAGAACATGGGTGACTTAAGAGCTCAGGTCCATCTTGAATCTGTATCCCAGTTTTGTTTTCACAACTCATCAAGGAAAGGGGTATTTCCCAAGTCCCCACTAGCTGCCATTGATTTCTTCCCACTGACAAACTTCTTTGCAGCCTGAAAATGGATCAGGAAAGTGGCTGTCAGGAAACACTCACTACAACAGTTTCCCATGCTGCTCCCAGCCTCAAGTTACCAAACCAAACAACAAACCCTGACACTATCATAACATATCTTCATCTAAACAATCCTTTTGCTGTATAAACCTGATTGCTCTCTAATTCAGCTGCTCATTACTTTATAATCTAAAGAGAAATGACAGAATGACAGTTGGATATAAAAGGCATAAACTCCCGAAATGGCTATTCTTAGAATAATTATTACACCATAAAACACAGATCTCTCCTCACTACTAAAGCTATTGCTAGTTGCTGCTGCAGCACAAATAAGCAATGAATGTAAAAAAAGAATATCTTAAAAATTCTCTTTCTCATGGATTTCTGTATGAAGTTTGCTTCACATAAAAGGAACAAGATAATGTGCAGTAGCAATGCAGTTAAATCAATTTATCACTGAAAGCCTAATTGTTTTATTAAGCACATCAAATAGTCTAGACTCAGGAATTCAAAAAGCTTTGACTCAGAATCACCTTCACTGGAACTAACATGAAGTTTTCCATGAATCTTACTTGGCAATTTTTGTAAATTTAAGTGAAGTAGATGAGGATTTTACATCATTCCTAGCTACATTACTTACAGTGTATTGGATTAAAGGATCTTCTGTCAATCAAGTATGTAAAGACATCAAAAGATACCCAGCTGGGATTTGTAAATGAATTGCCTTCTTTTTTAAAGACAGTATATGTGTGTTTACAAACACACACAAATGAGCATCAGCTTTCCACAAAAACAACCTTACAGAGTGATTAAGGAACACCTGTAGATGCCAACACATACTTACATTCACAACATCAGCAGTGGATACAGAGTCGATTTTCTGAGCAACAGCAGATGGTGATGTGTGTGTGCCAGAAACCAGCGCCTCGGAGCCAATTTCATTCAGTAACCCTTGTGCTGTTTCCACTGACATCAGATAGTTGGCCTTCAGCTGATTCCTGCCATCAAATAAAGCACAAACAATGAGTGAGTATCTAAGTCCTGCCATTACATTCCCCACCAGCCCTGTCGGCACAAAGAGGTTTTGGTGCTTTTTAAGTTTTCAAGATTGCTCTCCATTTCGCACGGTTTTCCTTTTCAAGCACAGAAGGGTTCCACAGTTAGGAAAGAGCCACCATAAACAGCCCAAGCATCAACATGACAGGTACTTGAAACACCTACTGCCTCCCCACCCAGTCAGAAGATCTCCAGCTCAGGATTTCTGTTTGAAGTAACAAATGCACTTAGGCAAACTACTCTATGAAGTTTAAAACTAATGTTTCTCATGAAGAACAAATGCATGCAGAGCAATTCTGTTTTAAATGACAAGTAGTGAATGTAAATGGTCAGTCTCTTTGTGAAATAGTTCCATGTCTTGTTAAAAGACAGCAAATTCACACTTACTTCTGTTTTATGCAGTCTCACTGCTACATATGAAAATCTTTCTTTTATAAGCCAGTCCTTTTTTTTTTTTAATACAAAAAGATGGAGAATTATTTATTCCAAGCAAATTATTAAGTAGCTTGGTATTTCCACCATTTAGCTACTAGTGACCAAGGCAGAACCAATCGTGTCTAGGCTGTCAAGGTTTGAGTAATTATACTTTACATGGAGTCTTGTAAGTATTTTAGACATGCAACAGACAAAATTTTACTACTGAATGTTGGTATTACTGTTTCTGTAATAGTAATCCCACACCCATCTGAAACATTCCTAGGGGCATGTATTTGGAGCACTTGGGTGGAACACCACTAATTCAGCACTTCACACTTGCAGACCCTTATTACTATTAAAGATGGTACAGATTGCTTAATATAATTGCTTTGGGAATTGCTGCAGTGCAACTGTAAAGGGAATTACCTAAATAATGCAATTTAGGATTCTAATTTAAATACATCTTAACACTACAGAGTATGATTAAAACAACAGCATCTGCTGACACTTGCTAATTTCTTATATTGAAAACATTAACACTTACCTAACAAGCTTTTATTAGGAAATAACACTACTGGAGAACTAGCACAGCTTTGGAAACCAGTGCTGACAGCAGTTCAGTGTTAATGCAGGACCATGAGCAGTTCCCCATGGAATAACCACAGGATGATAAACTCTGCTGTACAGTCTAAGTCTCTGACAAGGAGCTACATGCCAAGACACTTTTCTTTACAGCACAGGAGACAGTTCTTTACACTTACTTTGCCGTTGTGACCTCGGCATCGGTGACACCGCCCTGAGCAACTGCCTTTACCTGGTTCAAAGCAGCTTTAATGACCTGAGGAAAATCACATCATTTAAAACTTCTTCCCACATTTAAACCTCAACATGTTATATCTATGATCTGGGATCTTGGAAACTTCACCAGAGAGCAGCTGACAATGTTTGGATTGTCTGCCCAAACACAATTCTGAACAGCTTTTTAACAAAACTAAAACCACTGTAATAAATGCCCCAGTGAGGCACAAAAACCAGTGTGGATTTCAACTGCACCACAACTTTAATTTATAAGGTCTCTCCATTTTTCATGAGAGTATTCAGTTCTGCCAGCTTCAAGGGCCAGCTTAAAAATGTAAATCAGCAATTGCAGTCAGCAGTTCAAGGCACTTTACTATTTGTAGTTCATAACTGAACATGCAGCATTCTTATACAGGAAACCAGATCAAATTCCTATTTTTTTCAGATGAATCAGTCACTATCACAAATCAAAACATTACCTTGAAGGTTTTGTTGTTAATACTTAAATTCTAATCAGCAACTCACCTCCCCAGTATTTCCAGCCTGGGATATGGTGTAAATCCCGAAGAGCCCAGAATCAGAGTAATTAACATTAAATCCAGAAGCCTGCAAAAAAGCAAACATCATCAACTGTTTCAAGTACCAGAACAATTCAGCATCAAGCATAGGAAAACAATTACTCTAAGGATCTAAAATACTTAATTCAGGAAGCTAAACTCCATCTGTGCAGAGGACAGATCAGATTGGAAGGCTTCACTGATACACTCTAACGTGTACAAGAATGAACTAATTAAGACTGCAGTTGAAGGCAGCAGCCTTTCAAAGATAATACACCTTTTACATAAAATATGACAGAACTTACATCAAATGGCTGGCTAGTTGCTTTAGCAACACCCTGGCACAGTTTGCTGGTAACATGGCTTCCCCTCTTGACAAGGGGCCCAGCACCCAGAACGTGCTGAAGGACACTGAAGGTATTTGCTTCTGCACTCCCAACAGCAGCTCCTTCTGCCACAATTGCAGCGTGGACAAGGCTATCACCATTCTGTTTTCTGATTTCTCCTAAAAACACAAAAACAGAATAAAAGGTAGGAAGTGTTCAGTTTCTTTCCCCCTCCCCATCTCTTTACAGAAACAGCCAATACTCCAACTAACCAGTACCCGTTGGTATTAGTGCAAGATACTGCTCTGAAAGAGCTAAGCACTGCTTTGACTTACAACATTTTAACACATCTTCCCTAAAAAGAAATGCTACCTCCACTTCCTGACAGCTCTGAAACTATTCTTAAGGGAACCTTACCAAAACTGCCAAGAGAAACCACATGCCAGTTTGTTTTTCACTTCATAGAATAAATGATCTTGCAGTAAAACTTTGTTGAAGATCTGGGTTCAGTTTCAGGCCAGAACTTTCCATGGTGGGAAATAATCCTCTGCTTACTTAAATGGGCTGCACCTCTGACCTGTCACCTCCCATGTCCAGCATTTAGTGCAACTATAGAGTTTTCAGTTGCAACTTTGAATACTGCATTTTCTAACAGGAAATGAGTCTCTCAGAACAAGGCACTTACCCCCTCGATAGACAGCCTTTGCACCAGAAGCACCAGCTCCACTCCGGATATTTAGGAACTGCTCTGCAACTTTCTTTAGGTCAGAGTGCTTTACACCTGCAATGCAAGTTATTCCAAGTGATGCAACGACACTGAAAAGCTACAGCAGGCAGATAGAAGAGTGTGAAGTGTTTACCACAACATTTCACTCCTAAAGAGAACTCCACTTTCTACCGGAGTTCTCCCGTGTGACCCGCAGAGCCCATCCGAGAACAACTTACCTATTCCGACCAGAGCCATCCTCCCACTTGTGAAATTGTTCTGCACAAAATGGTGAAGCTGCAACAGTAAATTCATGTTTTAGGGTATTTTGTATAAAGAACAAAAATCTTGAGTGTGTTTCTGACATACCCCTTTGTATTTATTCATGCAGCAAACCCCAAAGGAACTGCCTGTAGAATGGCATTTTACTGCATTTCCCAGTGGCAACCACAAAACCCTTGTATAAAAGAACACCTGCATTTCATTGACAGCCTTATCATCACCAGAAAGGCACTGACAATAACCACCTCTCTAAATGTGAATATGAATTTTGTAGCCAGTACTAAAAACTGCATGAAAATAAAATTACTTTAAGACTAGACCAATAAGGTAGTAAATACTAAATGTATATTTACTAAATTAATATTCTCTCACAAGTGACATCATCCATTCCTGATTAAAAAAAAAATCTGAAGCAGATTTCTAGCACAACACAAATAACCCTACCTGCTCAGAAGTAATCTTTCCAACTCTGTAATCTGGACAGTACAAGGGGTTTGCCAGAGCATTCTTGTAAGCTGCAGCGTGCAAGTTTTCCAGCACTCCTAAGAGGAACAAAGTTTCAGTGATGATGATTAATGTAAGAGACACTTGTCATGAAGATTCTGAATGAAACTAAACAAAATAGAGCTGTGGTCCACTTTAAGGACTACCTGAGTGATCTTGAATGACTGAAGCTAATAACACAAGATAAAGGGAATAGGCTCGATCTGGCTGAGGCTTTGTGTGTGTCTTCTTGTTTTTCCTTAAACACAGAAACCTAAATTTACAATCCTAAAGTTGGAATCTACTTTCAGTGTGATGAAAATACATGTTGTTTATATACCAAAATAACCATACATATTCAAGAAGTCTTTTGTAGAATACTGTTTTCACACCAATGAGTAATACCTAAATAGTTTTCACTACACAAGCTGTTGCAAATACATTGTCAACAACAGTCATGATTTGCACATTCTTTGGTTGTACTCCAAAAGAATTAAAAAGGTAAAATGGAAGCTGTCAAGAACGGTGTAAACTGTCTTCAGCAAGTTACTTGCTAAATGCTATCATGGGCTGGAAAAATCTGTGTATTAAAAAAAGTTCCGTAACACCAGAAAGATCAGACCTATCAGCAGGCTGAAAAATTAAATGGCCATGTGACAGAGCAAAAGGGAAACTATTTTTCCTACATTTTTTTCATTGTGGAGGAACTCTCATAGAGCAATGCAGTGGATTAGAAAACACACTTACCAACTTGAGGACTCTGAAAAGCAATTGCTTTATCAACTCTTAATTGTGGCTGAAGATCAGCTACTTCCCATGGTCTGAACTCTGATGCTGTGGTGACATTAAGAAGATACTCCATTACTGTATCACTAGATTAAAAAAAGGTACAAAGGCATTAAACACAATAGAAGTCACACGTACTTCTGCAGTTCAAACAGATCTGTAAGCAGCACACTAACAACAAAGCATATCAGAGCAGTTACTACCACTGCTGCACAAAGTACAAGAATTCAACTTCAGTTCTGTAGCATTCATATGCTCAGGAATATGGCACAGAAGTTGAATATTAAAATAGTGATTGATTTATTACAGAAGCACGAGGATATTCCTGCCACCCTGTCAAACAACAGGTCTGGAGTAAAAGCAGCTGGTACAGAATGCAGGAATTGCCTTCCCAGCACATCCAGATACCTACACGTAGTCCCGCAGACACTCCACGGTGTAAGCAATCTTCTCTCTGGTTGAGTACACACTACAGGAGAAAAAAAGCAAAACCCATTTCAGCAGAGAACATAGAAGTGGATTTTCACATGTTTTCCATATTTATTGAATTTATCAGCAAGATATGGACTTGAATAACCATTTAACCTTAAATCTGCTTGGGATGACTGTTCAAAGGAGTGATAATACAAGCACTGCAGAAATAGATAATTAAAACTCCCATCTTCAATGTTCAAGTAATAACAAGTGTCTTGTGACCAACAGAATTTAAGATACCACAATAATTCAAGGTAAAACAGCAAACAAGGCTAAGCAGCAAAACAAGAAAAATGTGTATATGTATTAAATAAAGAAATTTAGAAATTATTCTCTTTGGGCAGAAAACAGTTGGTCCTGTCCTTTTGCTTCAGTGCATTTGTTATTGACAGGAACAGAGAAGGGTAGAGTCTCAAGTCTGTTTTCTAGGTTTTAAACTCTCAAATCACAAAAGCCAACTACTCTCTGAATTGTTCCCAAACCTGCAGTATGATGAGTAGTATCTATTCACAAAAGATGGGGAAAAAAATAACCTACTGACTTCAGCAAGTTTAATCTTGAAGCCTGAAAAGGCAGAAAGAAAATTTAGGCTTTCTGGACAAATTATATTTCTTCCAGGTACACAACATTTATATTCTGCTTACTGAAAGGTCTTTGTAAAATACAAATCCCGAGTGCACTCTTGAAGCTCAGTAAAATGTGAAGTACAAGATGTTCCTTGACAACATTCACTTTTCAAGTGCCAGTTCCACACTGAGCTTATCCACCTACATATTGTTGTGCATCTTGTCTTCTGTTCCCTTTAAGTCACAAAGCTCATCTGCATCTCACCAAGACAGATTATTTTTCTGTGTGGTTACAAACCTCAGGCTGCCTCCAACAGCTTCAATGCCACGAGTAATCCTGAAGGAGGAGGCTCCTTTAGTAGTCTATGAAAATAATAATAATAATAAAAAAAGGCAACTTACAATTCCAGCTATTTAAAAACAGGTTTGGGGTTGATGGCAGCAATAAGAAAAACTATTCAGAAATATTCCACACACCTGCACAAAATTGAGCTTGTGTCAGCTACCTAAAATAATTTCTATTGCAGCCTAAATAAAATAATCTGTGTGCAAAGCTATATATATATATATATGGGGGGGGGGTATGTACATCATAGGAGAGCATAATTCTAAAGAAATACTTCTTCCTGTCTTCCAGGAAGTAATGCCATCTCTCCTGCACTCAAACCAGGTAACCAAGTACCAGTGTACATTGTTTTCCACTTTGTAGGATTTTACATTAAATTTCTTACCGTAACATCTATTTTTGCAATAACAAACCTTTGACCACTGCATCTACTGCCAACATCGTAACACAGGGAATAAACCCCTACCAAATTAGATGCAAGACGAAGCAGGTGAGCAGTTCCCAGGTTACTGGTGGTTTCATGTCTGCAGCCCGTTTTAATAAACACACCAATCCTTGAAACTGGAGAAAAGTTTTCCAGAGATGCAATAACTAAGCCATTTGGTAATTTTGTGATCTGCATTAAAGAGAAAAAAACCCCTGGTTTAGTCATTCACTGGAAGTACAATCACAGCTCTGCTTTGACTGAGTTTTAGAAAAATAAATTAAAAGGAGAGAGAAAAAAACCCCAGTATTCATACTGACCTCAAGATCCTCAGACTCTGGAGATAATTTCACTTTTGCTGCAGTTGGTGAGCTTTTAACCTTAGGAGCAACTTTAAGTGAGTAAAATCTCTTCTAGAGGAGAAAGCAAAAGAGAATGGATTTCCTTAATTAGTTTACCACATGTTCCATTACATACTGAAGAAGCAACTAATTTTAATCTAGAAATACAGTAAAGGATTTCAAACCCCAGAGTAAAAACAGTGATTCCCTTGTAATTACTCTGACTATTTTTTACATCGCTGTCAAAATCTGTGCACTGCCCTACACAAGGTTTCTGGAAGTTCAAGAAACAGCACTGCAGGAAAGCTTTTGTTCTTCCCCTCCCTTTGCTGCTGCGCAGTGGGAATCTCTCCTGTCCTACACAGAACCCCTGCACAGCAGCTGACTGAACCAGCAGCCACATGAGCAGCACCCCAGCTTGGAGATCATTCTCTATTTACCAGGTGTGGGCTCTTCAGCTCCTGAAGTCACCCCTCAGAGCACCAACCTGTCTACGCTGACTGCTGCACACAAAGAGGACACGCAGGCAAGTCCTCAGACTGAAGTGTGGACCTGACAGAGCAGGTCCAGAGGAGACCACGAAGATGATCAAAGGGGTTGGATCACCTCTGCTACACAACAAGCTGAGAGCTGAGGGTGTTCAGCCTGGGGAAGAGATGGCTCAGGGGAGACCTCAGTGCAGCATTGCAGTACCTTAAAGGGGCTCATAAAAGAGATGGAGAAAGACCTTTTTATCCAGGCAGACAGAGACAGGATAAGGGGCAATGGTTTTAAACTGACAGAGGGCGAATTCAGATGAGGTGTTAGGAAGAAATTCTTAGCTGTGAGGGTGGTGAGGCACCGGCACAGGTTGCCCAGCAAAGCTGAAGCTGCCCCACCCCTGGAGGTGTTCAAGGCAGGGCTGGATGGGGCTCTGAGCAACCTGATCTAGTGAATGACATCCCTGACCATGGTAGAGGGATTGGAACTAGATGGTCTTCAAGGTCCCTTCCAACCCAAACCAGAGGTTTGGTTACAAAACCAGAGGCAAAGACTTGATATGGCTAAAGGCATAATCAATCTGGAGTGCACAAGATTGCTCATCAAGTCCATGCTGGGGGGACCCAGAGGTCTGAGCTGTATAACTGAAGACAAACAACTTCATATAAGGAAACAATTAATATAATCCAACCCCTTCTAAGAACTCAAACTGGCGTGTAAAGATGCTAATAATGTCAGGACAATAGTTAACACAGTCCAGCCTTTTTCTAAGAAACATGTTTAATGTGTATATCCCTACAGGATAAACAAACTGCTAATTCCAGGGTGCAATAGGAAATATCCCCTGCATGCCTGGCACCGAAACAAAGTGATGCCTGATTCCTAATACTGCAAAGAGTGTTGGAGAATTTTACTGATTTTTCAGTTACAATTCCACAACTCTAGGGTTCTCATGAAGCAGCTCTTCACATGGAAGAGGTGAACATTGCAAAAGCCCTCCCTTCAGCAGCTGGCAACAGAAATGACAAGACTATCAATTTCAAATCTGAAATGCTATTCCTTTCCCTCCTCTTTAGAAGTTGCTGATACTTGTAGAATAAGCTTACATATTACTCTTATTATCACGTTAAAAAAATAACTTCATTCTCATCCATGTCTCAGCAGCCACTGCCCCCGGCTGTAGGGATACCAGTGATGTAACTCCCCTTGCTTTGCCACAGGCTGTTGAGTGTTTGACTCTGGGAAAAGCTCCTTTCTTCCCCCACGAACAATTGGGTATGATACAGATTTTTAACCTCTAAGGCTGCTTATTTATCAATTACTAAATCACGTCTAAAACAAGCACGCTGTCATTCACTCAGAGGTCATTCTCCCACTCGGGCGCGTTTGTCGCGGAGCTCGAACCCCGGTTCCATCCCCGCTGTCCCATCCCCACGGGAGCCTTTGCAGCAGGACAAGGTGTCTGCCCTCCCGCCTGCGGGACAGGCCGAGCCCCAGCGCCAAGGGCACCGCCGTGTCACCACAAGCAGCCGGAGCTCCCTCTGCGTGGCCGGATCCCCTCAGGGCCGCTCCCTCCTCCCCGGTGCCCCCTCGGGCGCTGCCGGGGACGGCCCCGGTGTAGCTCCGGGAGCCGCTCCCTGCCCGGGCCCGGCCCGCGGCCTGTCTGACCTTCACCCGCCGCCGCGCTCCGCCACCCGCCCGCCCCGCCCGGCCCGGCCCGGCCCTGCCGCCCACCGCGACCCCGCCGCCAGCCCGGCCGGCACCACGGCCCGCCCGCGCCCCCCGCCCGGCTCCCGCCCCGAGCCGCCCGGTCAGGCCCGCCCGCAGCCGCCGGGGCGCGGACAGCGGCTGTCACGGCCGACTGCGCCTCTCCCGCGCCGCGTACGGCGCCCCCGCGTCCCCCTCACCGAGAGCGACCCCGCGGCCGCCGGGAAGCCCCTCATGGTGCTGCGCCCTCAGCCCGGCCCGGCCAGGACAAGATGGCTCCGCCACAGGGACACCCCGCCTTCCCGGCACGCCCCGCGCCGCGCTGCCCTTCTGGCGAGCGCAGCCCCAACTCTACTGCTCCGGCGGGGCAGCGGCAACAGCGCCCCCGCGCGGGCACCGAGGGCTGTGCGCCCCCTGCCGGGCACTGCGGGCCGGGAATCCCTCGGGAATATCCCTCGGGAATGTGCCTCGGGAATGTGCCTCGGGGCGCGCGGTCCCGGGGTGGCTGTGAACAGCGTAAACAGCCGTAAACAAACAGCGGTAGGGCCGTTCCGTGGCGCTCGCAGCCGCCTTCCCCCGAGCGCGCGGATATGGAGGTGCTGGAGCGTGTTCAGAGGGCATCGAGGCTGGTGGAGGGTCTGGGGCACAACTCCTATGAGGAGCAGCTGAGGGAGCTGGGGATGTTTAGCCTGGAGAAGAGGAGGCTCAGGGGTGACCTTATCGCTCTCTACAGCTCCCTGACATAAGGTTGTAGCCAGGTGGGGGTCGGTCTCTTCTCCCAGGCAACCAGCGACAGGACAAGAAGGCACAGTCTTAAGCTGCGCCAGGGGACGTTTAGGTTGGAAGGGGCAAAAGTTCTTTACAGAGAGAATGATTGGACACTGGAATGGGCTGCCCAGGGAGGTCGTGGAGTCACCGTCCCTGGAGGTGTTTAAGAGAAGACTGGATGTGGCATCAGTGCCATGGTCTAGCAGACCAGGTGGTGTTGGGTCCACGGCGGGACTCGATAATCTCAGAGGTCTTTTCCAAGCTGGCTGACTCTGTGATTCTGTGCCGGCCGGCGATGCTGCGGGCACGGCACTTCCAGTAGCGCCGGCGCTCCCGTCCGGCAGCACCTTCAGCGGGACGTCCCGGAGCTTCCGCCTGCCGGGTGGTGGAGGCGGGTCCGGGATCGAGCTGAGCCGGGATCCAGCGGGGCCGGGCCGGGCCGAAGGGCGGGGACGCCCCGGTGGGTTCTTAGCGGCGGAGCGGGCGGTGTCGCAGTCCCGTCCCGGTGCCGTCCCGGGGTGCCGGTGCTCGCCATGGGCTCGGCTCCGCCCGCCTTCATCGGCGCCGAGGAGGTGGAGAAGCACCTGCCCCGCTCCAGCCTCCTGCTGCCGGCGCTGGAGGCCGCCCTGGGCAACTTCTCGTCGGGCCCCGCGGGAGGCGTCGTGCAGCCCCTGCGCACCGTGCTGGCCGTGCCCGGGCACGGCGGGTGAGCGGCGAGCCCCGGGCACGGAGAGGCACCCGGGCAGGGCGGGCGGGGGAAGGCGCCGGGGGGGAGGGAGGGGAGCGCCGGGAAAGGCCCTCGGTGCCGGCTTGGGGATGAACGGGCCGGTGGCCGGGGATGGTGCCGGCCCGGCGGCTGCGAAAAGTCCGTGGGTAACGCAAGGAATGAATTCTCTGCTAAGGTACCTCGGGGTCATGCCCGCGTACAGCGCTGCGGATGATGCTCTGACGACCAAGCTGGTGACTTTTTACGAGCACCTGAAGGATTCCTCTGCCCCTTCTCACCAAGCGACCGTGCTCTTGTTTGACCCTCGCAGTGGCACTCTGAGAGCTGTAAGTCTCGTGAGTGCCCCTGCGTACTATAATCAGGAAAAGTTCACCTTGCATTTCAAAGGGAAAAAACCCACAACACGTTGCTGAATAAAGAATTGATCTTGAACCATCTTAATTTTCAGTTGAAAGAGATTCACAATTTGCATTGCAGGGAATAGTATTCAGTCTGACTGCTTTTTTTTAAAACAGTTTATGGATTTTTTTAAGAACAGTGATGCTTTGCGTTTACTTTAGCAAAAATAATTATTAAATGGCAAAAACTGGTTAAGAAAACTATCTTGGTCCCTTATACCAAAGCTGTCCATTTTTTAAGCCCCCTAATCTGTTTGTAGGCAGTGGCCAATGCACAGAGAGGCAGGAGTGCCCCACATGTGATACATATTAAAGGAATTCCACAGTTCCCTGTCACCCCATGGTACAGACCAAGACAGTGCTGACTGGTGAACCACTGCCAGCTTGCACTGGTCCCTGGTCTTACAGGAGTGCAGAGAATTGGAGTCACATCCATGTATTCCCAGTGCTGGAGAGCCAGGGAAATGCAGTGCCTGAGGAGGTGGGTGAATGTGGGGTGTTTCAGCTCTGACCAGTTGGACTCCCTTTGTGCTGGTGGAATGACATGAAAGAACTGGAATGCCCAGAGAATCTGCCCAGTTTAAGTGTGACTTTGTGTTTGCTGTACTAGCAATTGCCAACTTTTATTCGTGTGCATCTTTTATATCTTTAATAGCCCTTCATTCACAAACTGGATGAAAACATTCTGTATTTCCTCACCTTTTGAGTGTTCATTTCCTTCTGTTTGAATTGTTCCGAAGGTCCTGGATGGCAGTGTCATCACAGCAAAACGAACAGCTGCAGTTTCTGCCATTGCTACCAAGGTGTGCCTTCTGTTCTCTGAAGTGGGGCAGAGTTTGCTCTAAAATAACTCGAAGGAATGATGGCTTTCAGTGCATGTGAACTTTCATGAAATACAGCTTTAAATTAGATTTATGATAACATATGTATTTTTAGGGAAAGCTTAAAATCATAGTTTTGTGTTTTGAGTGAGTCACGTCTGGCTTTAACACTTTGTGTGTGACTGGAGAAGGAACCCAAGCTCTGTTTTTGTGGCTTCTGTTGCACTCTCTTTTCTGAATTTACAGAGGTGTCTTCCTGTATAATTTTGTTTCTTTTGTGTTTGTCTTCACATGCCTCTTTACAGGCTAGGACGAGGCAGCTGTAGTGTATCTGGCTGTGTATTACTTTGCGTCTCTTCAATTTCAGTTGGAAATATTTTTTGTTTGAAATATTTTTTTTGAAAATATTTTTGGTTGGCCTGCTAATCAAGTCAGCATCCATTGCACAGCAGAGTTTTAGCCTTCCCCTCAGAGGATGAGGCAATAAGAAGAGGGCCAGAGCTGAAAAATACTGTTGTTTGTCCCCCCTCAGCTTTGCATCCGAACGAGGGCTGATCTCACCACTTCATTAGTGGCAGCCTTCATGCCAGGGGAACTCCATCCATGGCAATGGAGCTGAACTGACATAAAACTGGAGGGAAGAACCTGTGCCCAAGAGCTTCTGCTGGAGCAAAGGCCAGAAGAGCTGACAATGAACTCCTTGGCCATGAGGTTACAGGCCCTCATTCATCTTGGCCATTCTGTATTTGGGCAGTTGTGATGGTCTTTACACAGCCCAGGCTCTGCTGCCTCCAAGGAGCTTGGCTGCTGAAGGGACTTGAAGATCAGACCCCTCTTTGCCATCTGTTGTTTTGGGAAATGTTCAGGAGTGTTTGAGTTCAGCTCCTGCTTGTCATCTTGTCCTCCTTATGGCACTTGCTTTTCAAAGCCCCCTGCTTTTGTGCAGAGAACCTTTGAAATCAGCGCTTCCCAGTCTTTGAAAGGAACACCAAAACAAGCTCTTATTGCTGAAAAATGGGATCAATGAGATGATTTCAATTTGTTTGCAGCAGAATTAAGTGTTGAGAGCCCAGACAATTCTAAAGCTTTTGAGACAGGAGTGAGTGGCCTCAGCAAATGCATAAATGAGTCCCAAGGATAGCTCAGGGCTGGGCTCCAGCAGCCCTGCCTTGCCCTTTGCCAAGTGTTGGTGAATCACAGGCAAGAAGTAAACCAGAACCCCCAAAGCAGCTGTAGAACTGAATGTTATTCTTTGTTCCTCAGAAGCATCCCTATTTTGACAATGTTAGATGTGTGGTGGCTCTTGCAGTGCCAGGATGTGTTTGTGGTACGATGTAAGGCTTCAGTGAACTCAAACAGGGGGTTTAGGGGGGCTTCCAGGAGCAGTTTACCTGTGCAGCTGCCACTGTCAGCACTGAGAACCTTTAGAATTGTGAGGCCTGTTCTCAGCCAGTGCAGAACATCACTGTATGGTTTTACACTTACTTAGTCATGTGGGTGTAATAAATTTTGCTAATATTGGACTGTGTTGCTGTCTTTTATACCGTTTTAAAAACTGTTTGTAATATCTGTGAATCTCTTGTTCTTACCCGTTCTCTTTATTTTTTATGCCTTTCAGTTGTTAATGCCAGCTTCTGCAGAGGTGCTGAGCATTTTGGGAGCTGGTGTTCAAGCATACAGCCATTATGAAATCCTCACAGAACTGTTCACATTTAAAGAGGTAATGGACACATCTTCCCAGATACATTTATTGTTCTCTGTTATGTTTCAGGATTTATTATAAGTAAAGTACAGGCAATGAAGCTGTATGAGGTCTGGCTGACGCTCCCCCCAGGCCCCCCAGTGCTGTGCTTTGCACTGGCCGCTCGAAGGGTACTGACACCTTCTGAAAACTGAACCCGAGTGTTCTGGTTCAGCAAGGAGAAATTCTCCAAGCTCATCTGTCTGTTTTCATTTCGTTTTCCCCCTGCAGGTGAGGATATGGAATCGCACCAAGGAGAAAGCAGAGAAGTTTGCCAGCTCTGTCCATGGTGCCGTGCGGGTTTGCTCCTCTGCCCAGGAGGCCGTTGTGGGGGCTGATGTGATTGTAACAGCGACCATGGCAACAGAGCCCATCCTGTTTGGGGCCTGGGTAAAGCCAGGTGCCCACATCAATGGTAGGCTGTGTTCTCTTTGTGTAAAGGATGTGTTTCTTATCACATTGCTTAGCATCAACATCTGCTGAAAGGCAGTTCTCTCTCCTTCTTGGAATGAATGTTCTTTTTGGTTTGACTTTTCCTCTTTAGTGGACCATTTTTTGTATATTAGGTTTGCACATTTCCACAATAATGTTATTTTACACATCTTTTGAACAAAATGGTGTTTGAATTTCTTTTAAACATTGCTCCCAAATTTATCAGTTTTGTTGTCTTAGCTGTTGGAGCGTGCAGGCCAAACTGGAGAGAACTGGATGACAAACTGATGAAGAATTGCTTTCTGTTTGTGGATTCCAGGAAGGCTGCTGCTGAAGAATCAGGAGATGTTATATTATCAGGGGTAAGACTTCTGTAATTGATGGGCTTTATTTTTGTGGCAGTTGGCTTGGATTTGACATGAGTTGGTATTGCTGATGTCCTGCACTGAATCTTTTTAGTGCATCAAATGTAGTTGTAAACACTTGCCAGGGACAGATTGAAGGATAAACTGCTTTCAATCTGATGCTTCTGTGTGTCTATGATCAAACAGACAGCCTCTGTATCTACTGTTGCATGACACCATATTACAGTAGCAGGTGCTCAACATTGGCCTTTGGGTGGGATAACAATGTATTGTTTTTTCAAAGATCTACACTTCCTGTAGTGTTTGGTTGTCTTAAATATTCTTCAAATCTGTTTATGAAAACCTGTAACTTTCTTCCCATAAGATTTCAGTGTGATTGACACATCAGACCTCTGGAGAATGGACCACACAAGCTGAGCAGACAGTGATCTGCACCAGTTTGACAGCAGGGACTCTTTTAGGTTCAATGGCATTTTCTTTTTCCCTTTTAATGTTTCTGCACAGCAAATGTGATTTGCACTTTTGAGGTTTAACATCAGAGCTGCAGATATGGTAATGTGTGTGGGATCCCGTGTGTTTTGTTGGATAAGGAACAAGCTATCCACTGTAACAAAACCTCACTGAGTGTGGAAAGTGTGCCAGCTGTTTCTCTTTGGAAACCATTCTGCTGCTCTGATTTCTGTCCAGTTTCTATATTATTTGTCTGCTTCACCATGGAAAAGAATCGGTTTTGGCATGCAGAGCTGGAGGATTTCTTTATTCTGAAGTCACTCAGGGAAAGAAGTGTTTTTCCCTTTCTGCATGTATGGATATTATGGTTTTAAATAAATGTGTATCTTTTCCACAGGCAGAGATTTTTGCTGAGCTAGGAGAGGTATTGAAGGGTACAAAACCAGCCCTGCCTGAGAAAACAACAGTGTTTAAGTCCCTGGGTAAGAGCAGCCCCTCGTGTGTGCAAGTGTGACAGGAAACAATGCCCTGTTATTTCCTGGGTCCCCCGTGCGTGGGAAAGCTGCTGCTCATCTTCAGAGCTGCTGTGGCCACGCACTGTCCACAGGGAAGTGGGATGTGATTTGCTTTTCCCCTTTTGATTTCCCTGTTTGTTTGTCTGGCAGGATTGATGTAATGAAGTGTGATAGGGAAGCAGGCAAACAATAGGAAGTCCATTTTCCATTTCCCAGCGGTTCAGGACATGAGTGCAGCATTTGTGAATGCAGCTGCAGCCCGACTGCCCCGCTGCTGCACCCACGGGCTCTGTGTGACCTGCACACCGTGTGCCTGTGGGGTGTGGGGCTGCTGTTTGGGGAGAGAGCAGGGATGGCGATGAACTACCATGCTCTGAACTGCAGGACATCTCTGAAAGGGCCAAGTGGTGATAGGAGCACTGCAAATCAGATTCCTGCTGTTCCATGAATTTCATAGGGCAGACCCACCACGATGGCCACAGGCTCTGAATGTAGCACTGTAGGTGTTTGGGATGGGGAATAATTCCTGTTCCTTCCCACTTAGATGATTTCCTGCGTCCTTCTGTTGCCTTCTGATGCTAAATTGATGGTACAGCTGAAGAACTGTTTGAAGATGCCTTTAATTCTTTTACAGGGATGGCTGTTGAAGATACAGTAGCAGCAAAATTTGTTTATGATGCGTGGTCAGCTGCCAACTAAAGAGGGAGTCTGCAATGCCAATGAGGGCAAGAGAATGGTTTGCACTGAGTTTCCTTGGATTCTTTGTTAACAAGGAAGGCAAGAGTCCTGTCTGAATGTGGCCCTTCTAGAAGAGTCAGGAATCAAAAGTAAAAATTCAGCAATCGACTGATTTCTAAAGTTTTGTGATTGCAAGTCTCAAATACCTGCAGTGTTGCTAATAAATGGACCTCTCTTGTAACAGCAGGTATCAGATATATTCAGTGATGTTGGGAAAATCTTAATTTGTAACAAATAATTTTTAAGAGTTGTGAATTCCTTTAGCTTTAACAGACAGTGCTTAGTCCTGTAATCACCCATATCAGTGATTAATGTGTGCAAGTGGATATCCTGGCCCTGAGATCAAAGACTGTGGTTCTGAGCAACAATGATAAGAAGGTCTGCCTTGGCCAGACCACACATCTGGGATGCATTCAAGGAGAAGAAACTTTTTTTGGAGGCCTGTGACCAAAACCGAATAACTTTCAGAATAGGATGTTCCCCAGATGACCACAGAGACCCTCAAGAGATCCCTCCTCTAACGTAAATGAGTTTTGAGAAGTGATTTAAATATGTAAAAGAATTGGCAAGAATGTTTAGCATGCATGTATGATCTGGGGAAATGTCATGAATATGCATTAGTTACAGAGATCTGAATCAGTATGTTACCTAGCTGGGGGTGTGATAGGAGGAGATATCCCCTGCATGCCCAGCACCAAAAATAAAGTAATGCCGCTTTCCAATGCTGCAAAGAGTGTTAGAGGGTTTTATTCACCATTTTTGGTGACAGTTTCTGGTGACCCAGATGGGACAATGCTGTTGACACTTCACGGATTCCAGGATCCTGAGGACTCCAGAGCACATGAAAGATTTTATGCCTGGTGCTTGGGGTTGGCTGGAGTTAAACCACACCTTTTGGCACGATTAGCATCTGCTAGTGCTGTTTGGCTGATAAGGAGGAGGCTCCTGTGCTCGCCCCAGCACTCCCTTTCCTGACTGTATATGAGAGTCTGGTGCTTGTGGCTGGCCATATTCTGCTTTTGCTGCTGCTGCACCGCTGCTCACCTCCCTGAATCGTGCCAGGGGGCATTTTGCCAACAGCCCTGGCCGTGTGCCTGGGCTGCCAGGGGGCCAGGGCAGTGCTGCTGTTTCGGTGCTGGGGTACCAGACAGGCCAGAACCCCAGGGCTGTTTTGCGAGCCCCGCTGAGGTGAGCAATGGGAACTAACGAGCCACTGGTGCTTAGAAAACTTAGCAGGGACTTCTAGGGAAGACCCAGGGAAAGCTGTGGAGGTATTTGAAGGCATTGTCTGACCCGAGGACCCTGACAGGACTGATATTCCGGTTGTATTGGATATGTTGTGAGGAATTCGAGTAAGTTGTTGGAAGCAGCGTGGAAGTAGCTGTGTTAGTGGAACAAAGCCCAAAAATGGGGTCGCCGCAGAGGCAGAGGAGGAATTAGTAGAGGTGGACTCCAACACAGGTAGATGGACAGGGATCAGTGTGCTATTTGTTGAGAGGAGGGCCACTGGAAGTGGGAATGGGACAGGTAGGAACTGCCAGACCCTAGAGTCCACCCAGGGCTCCCCATCAAGCAAGACAGCTGCTAATGTTGGAAGATGTGTGACAGGGACCAGAGGTGTGATTCCCCAGCTGAACCTCTGGTTACATTAACACTGGTGAGTGAGAAAATGGATTTCTTAGTAGATACTGGAGATGTGTATTCGGTTTTAAATACATGTAAAGGGAAATTCAGTCAGAAAATTATTAATGTACTCGGTGCCACTGGAGATAGACAAAATCGGCCATTCTTGCAACCTTTGAAATTTATAATTGGGAAAAAGTGGTTAACGTATCAATTTTTATATATGATAGTCCAGATTGTCCTATGCCCCTGTTAGGAAGAGACATTTTAAGCAAATTAGAAGCACACATAACTTTTGAGGAAGGAAAAATAGAAGTTCATATCCCTGAACCTAAACCTCTGGAAGCCCAAATTTTATGTTACAGTCGCTTGACCCATCAGAAGAAGAAATCTTGGCTGAGGTAGAAAACAGTTATGCCCTTGGTATGTGCTATGGGTGCCCCGGGACATTCAAAACTGGCAGAACCTGTGAGAGCATCATTAAAACCTAATGTCAAACCAGTAAGGCAGAAAAAAGGTCCTATAAAACAAGGTGTGAAGAAGGGGCTGGAAAAACTAATAGATAAATTTCAACAACACGGACTTAGTGGAATGTCAATTGGAGCATAACACCCCTATTTTGCCGGTGAGGAAACCACATTCCGAAGAATGCGGGTTGTTACAGCACTTAAGGGCTATCAATCAGACAGCACAAGACACGCATCCGAAGAACAGCATTAGATTTAAAAGACGCCTTTTTCTGCGCATCTCCAGGTGTGGGCAGCCGAGCTATTTTTGCTTCTGAAAAGTCTCCATCACCCCTGGAGGGGGCCGAGGCGGGGCCGGGGCCGGGCGGGGCGGGACGCGGGGCGGTTCCGCGGCGAGGCGGCGGCTCAGCCCCGGCGGGTTCTTAGCGGCGGAGCGGGCGGTGTCGCAGTCCCGTCCCGGTGCCGTCCCGGGGTGCCGGTGCTCGCCATGGGCTCGGCTCCGCCCGCCTTCATCGGCGCCGAGGAGGTGGAGAAGCACCTGCCCCGCTCCAGCCTCCTGCTGCCGGCGCTGGAGGCCGCCCTGGGCAACTTCTCGTCGGGCCCCGCGGGAGGCGTCGTGCAGCCCCTGCGCACCGTGCTGGCCGTGCCCGGGCACGGCGGGTGAGCGGCGAGCCCCGGGCACGGCGAGGCACCCGGGCAGGGCGGGCGGGGAAGGCGCCGGGGGAGGGAGGGGAGCGCCGGGAAAGGCCCTCGGTGCCGGCTTGGGGATGAACGGGCCGGTGGCCGGGGATGGTGCCGGCCCGGCGGCTGCGAAAAGTCCGTGGGTAACGCAGGGAATGAATTCTCTGCTAAGGTACCTCGGGGTCATGCCCGCGTACAGCGCTGCGGATGATGCTCTGACGACCAAGCTGGTGACTTTTTACGAGCACCTGAAGGATTCCTCTGCCCCTTCTCACCAAGCGACCGTGCTCTTGTTTGACCCTCGCAATGGTACTCTGAGAGCTGTAAGTCTCGTGAGTGCCCCTGCATCCTTCCCGGTAATGCTGTCGGTTCTCCCTTCTGATTCTTGGAAGCTTGAGCTGCTGTAATTTGGCCTGAGTTTACCAAAATCATCAATGCAAATTCAAATCAGGATTTGGCCTAAAGTCTTCTATATGTGTTAAACTGTACTCAGTGTGCTACTTTACTGCTACTTGTGACTGAATCTGATATCTGAGAGGGTGAATGGTGGAGAGAAATAATCAGGAAAAGCTTACCTTGCATTTCAAAGGAAAAATCCCACAACACCTTGCTGAATAAAGAATTGATCTTGAACCATCTTAATTTTCAGTTGAAAGAGATTCACAATTTGCGTTGCAGGGAATAGTATTCAGAGTCTGATTGCTTTTTTCCCCTGTATTTAAAGAATGTAGAATTTTTTTAAGAATAGCGATACTTTGCATTAGACTTTAGTAAAAATAATTATTTAAGGGCAAAAACTGGTCAAGAAAACTATCTTGGTCCCTTATACCAAAGCTGTCCATTTTTTAAGCCCCCTAATCTGTTTGTAGGCAGTGGCCAATGCACAGAGAGGCAGGAGTGCCCCACATGTGATACATATTAAAGGAATTCCACAGTTCCCTGTCACCCCATGGTACAGACCAAGACAGTGCTGACTGGTGAACCACTGCCAGCTTGCACTGGTCCCTGGTCTTACAGGAGTGCAGAGAATTGGAGTCACATCCATGTATTCCCAGTGCTGGAGAGCCAGGGAAATGCAGTGCCTAAGGAGGTGGGTTAATGTGGGGTGATTCAGCTCTGACCAGTTGGACTCCCTTTGTGATGGTGGAATGACATGAAAGAACTGGAATGCCCAGAGAATCTGCCCAGTTTAAGTGTGACTTTGTGTTTGCTGTACTAGCAATTGCCAACTTTTATTCGTGTGCATCTTTTATATCTTTAATAGCCCTTCATTCACAAATTGGATGAAAACATTCTGTATTTCCTCACCTTTTGAGTGTTCATTTCCTTCTGTTTGAATTTTTCTGAAGGTCCTGGATGGCAGTGTCATCACAGCAAAACGAACAGCTGCAGTTTCTGCCATTGCTACCAAGGTGTGCCTTCTGTTCTCTGAAGTGGGGCAGAGTTTGCTCTAAAATAACTCAAAGGAATGATGGCTTTCAGTGCATGTGAACTTTCATGAAATACAGCTTTAAATTAGATTTATGATAACATATGTATTTTTAGGGAAAGCTTACAATCATAGTTTTGTGTTTTGAGTGAGTCACGTCTGGCTTTAACACTTGGTGTGTGACTGGAGAAGGAACCCAAGCTCTGTTTTTGTGGCTTCTGTTGCACTCTCTTCTCTGAATTTACGGAGGTGTCTTCCTGTGTAATTTTCTTTCTTTTGTGTTTGTATTCACATGCCTCTTTATAGTTTTGGGTGTTGTACCTGTGGTGATACATTCAGTTTTAGTGACACAGATACCTTCTCCTGTCAGGCCAGGACAGGTGGGTGGCACTGGACTTGTAGAAAGAGTTAAAAAGGCACATTTCCAGATGTCAGTGTGGGTCCTCTTAAAATAGATGATGCCCAGTATAGATGGATGATTGCCCAGAGCTGTCTGTCTGTCTGTCAGTCTGTCAGTGTCCCTGAAGTTGTCTAGATAACTATCCCTGACCATGGTCATAAACTGAATGTCTAAAGGCAGGTGAGGTGTATCTGGCTCTGTGTTGCTTTGCATCACTTCAATTTCAGTTGGAAATTGTCATGTTTGATTCTTTTTTTGAAAGTATTTTTGGTTGGCTCTAGCTGGAGAGTGCAAGTCAGCATCCATTGCACAGCAGAGCTTTAGCCTTCCTCAGAGGGTGAGGCAATAAGAAGAGGGCCAGAGCTGAAAAATACTGTTGTTTGTCCCCCCTCAGCTTTGCATCCAAACCAAGGCTGATCTCACCACTTCATTAGTGGCAGCCTTCATGCCAGGGGAACTCCATCCATGGCAATGGAGCTGAACTGACATAAAACTGGAGGGAAGAACCTGTGCCCAAGAGCTTCTGCTGGACCAAAGGCCAGAAGAGCTGACAATGAACTCCTTGGCCATGAGGTTACAGGCCCTCA